CTCGCAGCGCCTGCCCGCCGCGCTTCGCCTCCTCGTGCCCCGCCGGGCTCAGGTCGGCGTCGTACCAGCCGCTGAAGCGGTTCTCCAGGTTCCAGGCGCTCTCGCCGTGGCGGATCAGCACTAGCTGGTAGGCGGCCATGGCTGCAGGCTCTGGACACGGCGAAGACTGGGGTTCACCGAGATTCCGGAGTCGCGGCCCGCCCCCAGCCGCGCCTGCGCACTCGCAGCCCGCAGCCGGCTCCCGCGCACTCCGGGGCCCAAATCTTTCCACTGGCTCGGGACCGCCCCCGGTCGCCGGATGTGCGCATGCGCATCGCCTCGGCGCCGCGGCCGCCGAAGGGAGGGGGCGCGCGCCGGGACTCCCGGGACGCATGCGCCCCTGCCGCCAGCCGCGTGTCCACCACGGTCGTCACGGAGCGCACGTAAGCACGCCGAGGGCGCCCGGGCCCTGAGGCGTCCCCTGGGGTGCGCGTCCCGGCGAGATTGTGGGAGCGTCACCCGGCTCCATCCTTATCGCTCTTAAGCCATCCGTTGTAGTAATATGACCATATAATTTTGAAGCCCTCTGGCTCTCTCCCCCAGAATACTTCCCCTTCCACAAGTGCTTGGGCAGGTTCTCATAGTAAAATGAGCACTAGGTACCTACCCATCTGACCAATGCACCTTTGGCCTTGTCCTTTGAATAAGATGCTGATCTTTTGGGTCTTATTTTACAGATTAGGAATCTGACCCTGCTGAAGCCAAAATCATATAGCACCAGGCCATTTTCCCCACCTCTGCCTACAATTAATGCCTCCTGGCCCTGCCACCAGGAGCCCTGGTGCCATAGTGGGCTATTCATTGGGCTGCTGACCACAAGGTCAGCAGTTCAAACTTACCAGCAGCTCAGCAAGAGGAAGATGAGGCATAAAGGTTTACCGTCTCAGTCCAGCTCTTTGACTCTGTCCTAAAGAGTCGCTATGAGTAGAAAGAAGTCAACATGATAGCAGGGTTTTTTTTCCCCACCCCTTGCAACTAGCTAAGAAGCACACTCTTTGTTGGTAGCTGTTTGTGGAACCAAACTGGACACAAAGTAGAACTGCCCTATATATAGTAAATAAATACTATATAGTATTGGAGAAAGTGGGCTTTCGACTCCCTGTAAAGAGTTACAATCTCAGAAACTCACAGGCAGTTCTACTCTGTCCTATAGGGTCACTGTGAGTCGGCATTGACCCGATGACAGTGAAATAAATCGTATACATTAAAAGTGTGTGTGTGCTCTATAGAGTACATATAGTAGAATTGCCCTATAGATAATGTATATAGTGTTCCACAGCTGGAATCTTTAAGGGAGCAAATCTATTCTCCCTAGAAGCAGCTGGTAGGTCCTAACCACCAGCCTTTCTGTTAGCAGCTGAATGCTTAACCACTGCACTACCAGGCTCCCAGAAGCTCTCTAGATCCCTTCAAGCATTCCAGAAAGAGGTGAACTTCTAATCCTCCCCAACATCCAACCAGCCATTTGACTATCTGCTTCTCTGGACAATGGTATCCTGCCTGAGCTCTGTCTGCTGGCCCATTGCAATTTGACCAATTTATTGAGCGCCATATGTGAACAGAGCAATGGGTTGAAGGCAAAGATGGATCTGATGGGGTTCCTACCCTTCAAGGCATGCAGAGCCTGATGAGACCCACATGCACAGCTGTGCGCTATCTTTTGACAGAGGTTTTAGGGAAGTTTTTAACCTAAGCACCTCCTACCTGTGTTAGAAGTACAGTATTTCATAAATGTGGACTATTTAGTCCTCATGTCTCATACATAGACTAGCTAAAGAAAATTAAAGAAATGATTAAGAGAACTGATTAGAAAGTCCCAAAGGGTGTCTTTTAGACACAATATGTGAAAAAGGATAAACGTCTTATTTAAAGTGCCACATTATTTTTTTTATGAATTCAAGACAGATTAATTCCAAAATGAAGATTTTCATAACTTCCAGCATGGTTCAGTAGGAAATACTTGAACACTCTAATGGAAAATTGTGTAGTTATGTTGAAAATCCATATTCCAATACCACTAAGTAAATATTTTTTGTTTTTTTTAAGTAATTTTATTGGAACTCATACAACTCTTATCACAATCCATACAGACATCAGTTGTGTAAAGCACACCTCTACATTCATCGCCCTCATCATTCTCAAAACATTTGCTTCTTGCTTGGGCTATTGGAATCAGCTCCTCGTTTTTCTATTTTTCCCCTCTCCCTCATGAACCCTTGATAATTTATAAATTATTATTATTTTATCATATCTTACACTGCCCAACATCTCTCTTCACCCACTTTTCTTCCCCCAGGGAGGAGGTTATATGTAGATCCTTGTCATCAGTTCTCCCTTTCTACCCCACCTCCCTCCACATCCACCAAATAAATGTTAACCATTTTTCCCCCCCAACAGTTTTATTGGCACATAGTCTGCATAACATACAATTTAGTAGTTAAATCATATCAAGGAGAATTGTACTGGACAAGTTTTAAACAGTTAGAGGTCCATGTAATTTTTCTTTGCTGTATTAAAATGGCCACAAAAGTGAGGTCTTAAATTTTCAAAATTATGACAGTGAAGTTACGGTTGGAGAAGTAGCTAACATTTTTGCCAAAGTATGCTTGGCTTAACATGGACAATTAGAAAGTATCCATACTTAGAAGTTACATAAAGCAGGTGAAATACGGTTGGAAATATTGATATTATATTGTATTAGATTGGTACACTCTAAATCCGAGTCTCAATAAAATTTCAAAGCTACAAAAAAGAAAAGAAGACACTGTCTCCCGGGCTATGTTTTCTCCAGATCCAATTCTAGTATTCGAATAATCTAATCATCATTTCTATTATTCAGATTAAGCAAGGCTGACCTTTTGCTGTCTGAGATTAACTAGTATGAGATTTAGTGACTGGGAGGAGCCCTGGTGGCATAGTGGTTCCACGTTGGGCTGCTAACCACAAGGTCAGCAGTTTGAAACTACCAGCCTCTCTTTCTACTCAAAGAGTTACAATCTTGGAAACCCACAGGGGCAATTCTACTCTGTCCTATAGGATTGTGGTAGTTACATAATCTGGTGTCAATTTGGGACTTGAGAGTGTTAAGAGTGAAGGGGTGGAGTCTAGTCTGTCAATTGGGTTATAACCAATGAGGCCTCTGTGTGGGCATGACCTTCTCTTGAGGATTCTGGGAATTCCTATTTTGCCTCCTTGGAGGCGGGAGACTTTCTCACTCTGCTCACTCCCTGAGACGCTGTACTGACAAGACACATGGCACTATGCTGAAAGACCCCGTGCCCTGGGAACTGGAGGAGCCACGTGGAGACCCACCCCAGCACTGACATGCTTCTACCACCACTAGATCCATAAGACTTTTTTTTTCTTTTTTTTTTTAATCTGCATAATTTTTATTTCTTCTTTCAATTTTTTAAAAAACATTTTATTAGGGGCTCATACAACTGTTATCGCAATCCATACACACATCAATTGTGTAAAGCGCATTTGTACATCATTCTCAAAACATTTTCTCTCCACTTAAACCCCCGACATTAGGTCCTCATTTTAGATCCATAAGACTTTGCACCCACTGGCCTGTGATCTTCCTGCACTTGGCGTCATTGCATGTGTTACCTGACTCTGAAGAGGACTTTATAGAATGGTATCGGACATATGGGCTAATATCAGACTTACGGACTTGATCTGGGATGTTTTCTCAATATTCAACTGCTTTTGTATATGAAGCTGTTTCACACACACACACACACACACACACACACACACACACACGAGTCTCCCGGGTTTGTTTCTCTAGTCTACCCGGACTGACACAAGGATCATGATGCGTTGGATTTGGCCCCATGGCTGTGAACTTGGAGTTGTTTTTTTGTTTATTTACCTTAACAATACAGCCTACATTTTGGTGATTGGAAGGTGTGTGTGTGTGTGTGTGTGTGTGTTGGGGGGAGGGTGTGGTGTCTGGGAGCTATAGTGTACCCAACTAAAGGACTATACCCCCGGCCCCTTCTGTTCTTGTTGTCCGGTGCCCTCCAGTCAGTTCCAACTCATAGCGACCCTGGGTACAACAGGGCAAAACGCTGCCTCATCCTGTGCCATCCTCACGGACCCTGCCATATGTGAGGCCAGTGTGGCAGGGCGGTGTCAATCCACCCCACTGAGGGCCTTCCCTTTTCCACTGACCCTCTTCTTTACCGGGCACGAAGTCCTCCAGACACTTGACATTTAGACAAGCTCGGGATTGTCTGAATCCAAAGCCGAGCTGTAAGACAAGCTCCAGCAGTTAGGACAACCCCACCACTGTGGCCACAGTGGGCTGCTCAGAGCTCCCCCGAGCAGAGCACCAGCCTGAAGTTAAAGACCCAGAGCACCCACTTCCTCTTGGTTTGGGGCAAGAGGCTGAGGCTCAATTTCCCTTTCCGGTGCCCAGTGTCATAACAGATGACAATGCTGTGGGCTTAACTGGCTTTTCTGTTTCCTGGGGGCCCAGAGCCTGGCATGCAGCAGCCTGTCACCCCACGTGTGCTGCGCAGAGTTTTAAGAACAGTGCTTACAGAGGGGAGTCCCGGGCCAGGAGCTGGAGTTCCCTTCTGCCTGCCAGGAAACTATGTGACGCCTGGGATGCCATTAACCCCTATGACCACCGTACAGTACACTGAGGACACCTCAGAGACCTGGGTAATGTAGCGGGTTATGAGTTGGGCTGCAAGCCCCGAAGTCAGCAGTTCAAACCTACCAGCTACTCTGCAGGAGAAAGATGACATTTTCTTCTGTAAAGATTTATGGCCTCAGAAACTCGCAAGAGCAGGTCTTCTCCATCCGAAAGTGTCTCTAGGAGTCGGAAATTCTGACTCATAGCGACCCGACCCTGTAGAACAGGGTGTAGCTGCCCCGTGTTTCTGAGACTATAACTTTTGATAGGAGTAGAAAGGCTCATCTTTCTCTCTCAGAGCGGCTGGCGGTTGGACTGTTTGCCTTTCGGTGCGCAGCCCAGCATGTAACCACTGTGCTTCCCACCAGGGCCCTTGACTCGGTAACACAGGGGGGTCCACAAGGTTCATGTAAACATGCCATTCACTTCTGGTTCCATTTTTTTCATGAAGTTCACAAATTTCTTGAAGCTTGCAGAGGCAAAGATGCTTTGGGACCTTGGCGGGACCTCTGGGGTGACAGGGACGCCTCGATCACCTGGGTGGCCCACTCACTCGGCGCCAGGCTCTCCGCACTTTACGGACAGTCTTGTTTTCTTCTCACATACCCGCACCTGGCCTGGGCATTGCTCTTGCTCCCATTTTACAGACTAGGAAAACTGAGGCCGAGGGGAGGCCGGTGATTTGCTCCAAGTCACAGAGCAAGCGATGGCCCTTGGATTCTGCCCTGAGATTGCAGGATGGATCCTAGTGGCATGAAACAGAGGAACAGAGTGCACCGGTCACAAAGACGGCTGGAATTCAGGGGTCAGGAGGTTGGCCCTTTCCCCAAATCTGGCCGTTTGGTGGCCTGGACATCTGGCAGCCACTTACCTGGCAGCCACTTATGGCCCTATCTACCTCCTGGAGGGTCTCTGAGCCCTGCTGCCCTGCTGCCAGGCGGGTCAGCCTGAGGCCAGCTAGCCTGAGTCGGCTGCCTGGAACAAGCTGTCTGTCACTTACATGGCTTGTTTCTCTCCCCCTATCTTGTCTGAAACCGCAGCCAAGTAGGCCGGGATCACCGCTGTTCCGTAGGATTTTGTTGTTGTCTTTTCTTTCTTGATTTTTAAATTTATTCTGTTGCTGTAGCTCCGCAGGGTTTTTTTCATGGCCCTAGTGGCGCAGCAGTTAAAGCTCTTATCTGCGAACTGAAAAGTCAGTGTCTAGAATCCACCAGCCGTCTTCTTCCACGAAAGAGTTACAGCCTCGGAAACGGAGCCAGGCTGTTCTGCCACTTTGGGAAACATTGTATGATACTTGTAAGGCATTTAACCACTGCAGGTCTCTTTTCTATTATCTGTAAGGTAACAGTAACAACAATGACTCCCCCTGCGCCCCCCCCCCCCACTAAAGAAGGCCTGGTAGTTATGCAAGGTCAGCAGTTCGAAAACACCAGCCACTCCATGGCAGAAAGAGGATTTCTACTCTCGTAAAGAGTCCCAGTTTTGGAAGCCCCCAAGGGCGGTTCTATCCTGTCCTATAGGGTGGCTATCAGTGGCATCCACCCATGGCAGTGCTTACCGTGTAGAGTACAGTGACGCCTATCAGCCACCATAGGGAGCTCTGCAAACGACCGGAGGCTTCACCCGTTAGAGCTAAAACCCTTTTCATCCGAGGGCTGCCCCCGAACTCATGCAGATGGACAGCCACCCTCGAAGACAGGGCAGAACAGCCTGGCTTCCTTTCTTGGCTTGATGGGCTTTTTGTTTGTTTTGTAAACCAATGAAGTATAACATGCAGAAGCATGCACTGATTATAGGTACTCAGCTCAACAACTTTTCGCCCAGGGGAGGATCCCTGGTGGTGTAGTGGTTACCCATTGGTCAGCAGTTTGAAACCACCAGCCACTCCTAGGGAGAAAGATGGGGCTTTCTACTCCAGTAAAGAATTACAGTCTCTGATACTCACAGGGGCAGTTCTACCCTGTCCTAAAGGGACCCTGTACGTCAGCATCACCTTGATGCCAGGGAGTTTGCTTCTGGCGTTCTGACCTCTCCTTGAGTGTTCCTCCTTCCCAGGGATTACTGCCAACTGACTTCTAAGATTGTAGATTAATGTCTGTTCTTAAACTGTATACAAATGGAATCATGCAGTAGATACTCTGGCCCCCAGACTCTTTCACTCAATATTAGATCCGTGAAATCACACATGCTGTGGTATGTCGCAATAGTTTGCTCATTCTCCTGGATGGATAACTATATGCAGCTGAATACTGTGCAGTGTGCAGTATGTCATTGTATCAATAGACCACTTTAAAAAATCCAGCCTACTGTTCATCTTCATTCGGGTCATTTCCACTAAGGGCTACTATAAACACTCTCTTGTGAGTTTCTTATGGAAGGTGTGGGTAGCTTTTGAGTTTGAACCCAGAGTGAATTGCGGGGTGGTTGAGGAAACATCTATTCTGTTTTTGCATGTCTTATGCAGCAGTTTACAATTTCTACTCCCACCAGCAGCATTTGAAAGTGCTGGCTATTCCACATTCTCAACCCTTATCGCTATTAAAAACATAGCCAACCTGCTGGGTATGTGGAGGTATTTTACTACGGTCTAAATATGCATTTTATGTCTATTAATGATGAGCATCTTTTCATATGCTTATTGGCTATTTGTGTATCTTCTTTGGTGAAGTGCCTGTTCACTGCCAGGTCCTGCACCATCCTCACGATTGTAATGGTTGCACCCGTTATTGTAGGTACCGTGTGGATTCCTCTTGTGGAGGGTACCCTCTTCCTCTTTTTTCCTGCCCCTCCCCTTTACCAAGCATGATGGCCCCTTCCAAGGACTGGTCTCTCCTGGCAACATGTGCAAAGTAAATGAGATGAAGTCGTGACACCTGGCCTCTTAGGGGCATTCCAGCTGTACTTCTAAGACAGATGTCTTTGTTCTTTTGGCAATCAAGAGAAGTTTCACTATTTTTCACCAGCACCATAATTCAGATGTCTCAATTCTTTTTTTTTTTGGTCTTCCTTATTCAATGTCCGACTTTCACATGCATACGAGGTGACTGAAAATACCATGGTTTGGGCCAGCCACACCTCAGACCCCAAAGTAAACCCCTTTCTTTTCAGCACTTTAAAGAGGTCTGGTGCAGCAGATTTTGTTAATGCCAATGAAATCTTTGCTCCATTTATCGTCATGTTCCCGATTCGCCCGGTTGTGAAAATGTGTGTGGGCTTGTGTTTTAGCATTGAGCTTGTAATCCACACTGAAGGCTGCAGTCCTTGATCGTTGTCAGCAGGAGCTTCAAGTCCTCACTGTCAGCAAGCAAGGTTGTGTCACTCAGGCTGAGGAAATGGTCACTTTTCAGGTCTGGATATGTTTCGCCTATGCTTAACTTTTGAAATTAGATTTTCAAAATAATATGAAAGTACTTTTTTTTTTTATGGGTGCCCCAGGCTCGGGGTTGTCTGGGCTGGGGAGGGTGCAGGGATGAGATCCAGGTTGTGCAAACCAGGGAACTTCCATTCTGCCCTGGATTCTCCTGAGCTGAGGTGGAGCCTGGGAGTGGGGGCCATTGGTAAAAAGATTGGTGAATGGGAGAGGGTGTGAGCAGGCCCTGTGAGGCTTGGGGGCTGTCTAACCTAGACCTGGACTTGGCCACAAACAGTGAGGGCAGAGGCCTGGGAGGGAGGCGCCAGGCAGCTCGCCTGGCCAGGTGGAGAGAACTGGGAGGGGCGGGCACAGAGGACCTGGGGTCTCCTGGGCTTTGAATGTTGGGTGGGCATGAGGGAGATGTTGGGCTGGTGACTGGGTGTCCCGGGCTGCAGGCACAGCTGGATCCAGGAGCTCATCTGGTGCTTGTAGGGGGCACAGTCAAGGGAAGGGTGCTGGTGGCACCATGTGTTAAGTGCTCAGCCACTGCCTGGGAGGCTTCTGTGAGAGGTTGCTGTGGTAACAGCCGATCACCTTCGAAACCCCGGGCGGCCGCTGTAGGCCAGGGCAGTGGGTTTTGGGTTCAGTGTGCTCTGGAGGTATGTGTCCAGGGGACTAGGTGGGGTGAGGTCTGCAGACCCCACGCAGTTCTCTAGGTCAGCCCACTAGAAACTCCTGTGGGAGGCAGAAGAAAAAAAAACCCACTGCCTTCAAATCTGTTCTGACTCACAGCGACCCTATAGGGCAGGGCAGAACTGCTCCCGAGGATTCGCGAGGCTGTCCACCTTTACAGGAGCAGACAGCTTTTCAGCAGGCGCGTCTGAACCACCAACATGTGATCGGCAGAGCCAGGCTTCACCCACCCCACCACCAAGGTTCCCCGCTCTCCGTTTTCTTTGCTGGTATAGCGGTTACGGGTTAGGTAGCTAACCCCCAGGTCAGTAGTTAGAAAACAACAGCCCATCCGCAGGAGAAAGACGCGGCTTATAGTATTAAATTGGCATGGGGGGGGTGCCAGCCCCCACCGCTAGTACTACTTACGGGTTCAGTAAGCACAATTGTACGGTTGAGATATATATATATATATTATATTAAAGTCATCGAGAGCATGAGAGATACTACAATAATGCAGTCAGACACATTACATGGTAGCATTGCTCATCTCAGCCCAGCTTGGTGGTCCTTAGGGGGGGGGATTGCCTGTACATCTGACCTCCCCCCACAGCGGCTTTCACTCCTATAAAGAGTTACAGTCTCGGAGAAAGTACTTTTTTTTTAATCCTTCAAAGGAACTCCAGTTTCACCAGGCTCGCTCCTGCAATCCTGTAAGAACGGGGGCCCTGGAGAAGGGGCCCCAGAGGTGCTCTAAGGACAGATTCCAGCCCAGTCGGGTTTCTTGCGAGCGTTTCTCGCGTAGGAACCTGGCGGACCCCCTAACCCGGATGTTGATTGTTGTTGTCATAGCAACGGACTTTGAACCCGGAAGTTACGCCAGAGGAAGAGGAAGTGGGGAGGGCCTGGGGCCCCACGTGGGTTCCGTACGCATTCCCACGTCCCTGGCAGCCTGTCCTTGCTCGCTCGGCCCGGTCTCGGTGGCGGTCCAGTCGCCATGGGTCGCTCGGGGAAATTGCGGTCCGGCGTCTCGGCGAAGTTGAAGCGCTGGAAGAAAGGCCACAGCAGCGACAGCAACCCCGCCACTTGCCACCACCGCCAGGCTGCCCGCAGCCGCTTCTTCAGCCAGCCCTCAGGTAGCGGGGCCGGGACGCCGGCAGTGGGAGACGGGGTTCGGGGCCTGAATCCCAGGGGACTTACGCCCCGTCAGGGATTGCAGCCCAGGCCTGGACGCTATGCTTCGTGGACGGCCCACCTTCCCTTCCCCTGTAGCGGACGAGGAGCCTGGGCTCAGACTCGTGGGCGCCGTTGACCCCGGGTGGCACTTCCCAGGCGCTGTGAGTGCAAGGGGCGCTCGCGCCGTGGGGACCGCGGGGCAGCACGTTTTCCCTTGAGAGTCCCTTTCCGTTTGGTTGTCTGCGTTTCAGGCGCCCTCGGGGCTGATGCGCACGTCGGGGTTGGGGTTTGGACCCCTTGCTTGGCCGGGCTCCTGGCCTGACGGTGGATGGGGTGGACCTGGGCCCTGACAGGCCGCTGCCTTGGCTTCTCAGGAAAGAGTCACCTGACCGTTGATGCTCTGAAGCTGCATAATGAGCTGCAGTCAGGGTCGCTGCGCGTGGGCAGAGACGAAGCCCCGGAGACGGCCATGGAAGACGCGGAGCTGGCCGTCACCGAGAAGTCGTCGGGCACCTTCCTGAGCGGCCTCTCGGACTGCACGAACGTCACCTTCAGCAAAGTGCAGCGCTTCTGGGAGTCCAACTCTGCGGCCCACAAGGAGGTAGGGGCCAGGGTGGAAGCGCAGAGCAGGCCGACCGACTGGTGCTTTTTCTGGCCCTCTTGCTTGGCCTGGAATGCTGTGGGGTATTCCTGGATGATGTGTCATGTTTCCTACCCGCTGTGACCCCGCTTGCTAGCTCCAGGAATGCTGGTCTGTAGCAGTTCCACGCTCAGTTGTTAACTGAGGGGTCTGTTGTTCAGACTCACCCAGGGGTCCATTTGCTCCACTCTTCAGGACTTTTGTCCACCAGGATTTTCCTCAAACATGTAGGGACATGTAGAACCTATTCCATGGCCCACACCTCACCCGGGCAGCTCCCACTTTCTGCTTTTCTTTTTTAAAAAATTAATTGATTTTCCTGCTTTTTCTAAGAACAGCTTCCCCACTGAAGTATAGAGTTCTTGAGTGTAGAGACGCTTCCAGTCGTTTATCTCAGCAGGACTCCTTTCCATAGAGTACCATTGAGATACATCTTCCTTCCCCCAAGAGATATTTCCCGAGTTAACTGGTGCTGAGTGACAGTGGTTAGAAAGGATGTTTCTGGTGAGACCTCAAGCGGAGCCCTGGTGGCGTAGTGGGTGGTGAGCTGGGCTGCTGACTGCCGGGCCAGCAGTTTGAAACCACCAGCTGCTCTGCAGGAGAAAGATGAGGCTTTGAACTCCTGTAAAGATCCACAGTCACAGAAAAATACACAGAGGTCATTCTGCTCTGACCTCTAGGGAGGCTGTGAGTCAGAATTGATTCAGTAACAGTACGTTTGTGCTTTTTTTTGTTTTTGAGCCAGAACTCAATGACGCGTTTTATGGGATTTTGACGTGTTTTAAATTGTACTTGTTTATATATGTACCATAAAAAACAAAACAGAATTCACCACCATCGAGTCAATTCCCACTCAGGGACCCTATATATAACATATGTTTGTTTTATATATATTTAAAATTTCTCAATGAACATGTTGAGACTCTCTGGTCCTAAAGAGGTGACCGTAAAATGGGAGTCACTCTCCAGCGTTGACTCCTCAGAGGAAACCCCGTCAGCACCTTGTCCTCCCGGATCAGTGCTGCCCCGAGACATGCGAGACGAGCCAGGTAAGTCATTTCACATGATCTCGTATCCGCACCGGGGTAAAACCAAAAGAAACCAGGAAAAGTTGTTTTGATAATATAAGTATACAAAAAAACTTTAACACCGGTATCTAAATATTAGGAGAGAAACAGTACACCATTTTTATTACACTACCGTAAGGCTTCAACATACAGCGTGTATTTTATACGTACAGGAGATCTGATGCTAAATTTTTTGGATGGGTTTGCGTATGTTTATTTGGATGTTTTCATAACAATTACGGTTGAACAAGTAGATTCACTGGCGCACAGTGTCCTAGGTAGATGTTTTCTCAATAACTGAATCAAGTATTTGCTTTAAAATGTAAACCAAACCCACTGCCATGAAGATCCACAGTCCTGGAAACCCTAACTAGAGTCGCTGGGAGTCAGAATTGACTCGGTGGCGGTGAGTTTGGTTTGAAGGTGCTGTCCTCCTCCAGAACAGTCACTGCTGACCGAAAGGTGGATGGTTCCAACCCACCTGCCACTCCACCAGAGACAGATGTGTCTGCTTTCTAGAGCCGTTGCTGCTGTTTCTAGGTACTAGTCAAGTCAGCTCCAACCCATAGCGACCTTACGCACAACAGAATGAAACACTGCCCCGTCCAGGGACCATTTGCAGCCACGGTGTCAGTCTAGCTCTTTGAGGCCCCCCCCCCCCCTTTTCCGCTGCCACTCTGCTTGACCAAGCTTGATGTCTTTCCATCGGGACTGGTCTCTGCCGATAACATGTCCAAAGTACATGAGACACAGTCTGGCATCCTTGCCTCTAAGGAGCACTCTGGCCATACTTCTCCCAAGAGAGACTTGTTTAAAAATGGCAGCCTTGGAAACTCTGGGGCAGTTCCTTCTGTTCAGTCCTGTAAGGTTGCTGCTGTGAGCTGGAGTCCACGCAGTGGAACAGAGTACTTGATGAATTCCCTCTGAGGCCATTGGGTCTTCCCAGGTTGGTTGCTGCCGTGAGCATCCAATTGTTCAAGTACATTGGTACATTCCTTACCCTCATCCTCAAAATATTTGCTCTCCACTTAAACCCTTGGTATCAGCTCCTCATTTTTCCCCCTTTCTCCCCGCACTCCCCCTCCCTCTTGAACCCTTGATAGTTTATAAATTATTATTATTTGGGCATAGATTTTGTTGCAGTCCTGTGCACGCAGTTCTCTGAGACAGCGCCCTAGAGGCGGTACTCCCAGGCGTGTTCCGAGTCTTCCTGTTTGCTCGGCCCTGCAGCCTGACGCTGGGCCTTTCTCAAGAGGGTCGCCGGCGGGATTAGGTCTAGCAGCCGTCATCGGTGTCTTCTCTGTCCCTTGCAGATCTGTGCTGTCCTGGCTGCCGTCACCGAGGTGATCCGCTCCCAGGGAGGGAAGGAGACGGAGACCGAGTACTTTGCAGCTCTGGTAAGTGGGTGGCTGCAGCTAGGTGGTGAGTGTTCAGAATGGAGAGAGAAAGTCGACGTGGAGGGGGCCCCTAGCACCTAGGCATTGAGAAAGACAGCCTCGAACAGGTGGGGGCCCAGCAGTCATTCTCAGGTGGCTGCTGGGGCCGTGGTATGGGCCACGTGGTTCTTGGAAAATAAAAATCTTTTTTCTTAAAATAGAGATCTTTTGCTCTGTTTTCTGTCTTTTGATCTAGGACACAGTTCGATCCAGACTATTCTCTGGAAAAGAGAGCTTACAGTGTGGTCCAGAGATCCCAGGGCTTTCTAGGACCCTTTGTGTGTGTTTGTTTGTTGTTTTTGTGAGTGGGGTGGGTAGCAAGAAGACAGTCATTGCTATAAAAATACCAGAACACCTCTCTCCAGAGTCCTTTTGTACATGCACGGTGGAGGTTTCCGAAGTTACTTGGTGCCTGGTGATATTTTTAGTATGGGATTGAGTCCCGTGCATTCAAAAAACGGCCTCAGGTTTAATGTTTTTCATGGCAAATGCTAATAGCCATCACCCACATACAGCAAACTGGGAAGGGATCCTCCTTCATTTTGAAGACGGCAAATGTCTATAGCAGTGGCTGGCAGCTTTGGGCCAGATCTGACCCAGGGGCTGCCTTTGTGTGGCCAGAGAAGGAAGAGGGGTTTTCGCATGTTAGAAAGCTTGTTTCACATACAGTCCCAAGGGGCTGTGTGCATCGAGGACTGTGTGTGGCCCACAGACCTGGGGTGTTGATGACGACCCTTCACAGAAAATGTTCACCAAGCTCTGCTGTAGAATAACGAAATAGATGAGCTAGCCCCTATGGTGTCTGGAGCCCTGGTGGCGTAGCGGGTACGCAGTGAGCTGCTAACTGCACGATGAGGTCAGCAGTTGGAAACCACCAGCTGCTCCGAGGGAGGCTTTCTATTCTCGTAGAGAGTGACCGTCTCAGAAACCCACAGGGCAGTTCTACCCTGCCTTCCAGGGTCGCCAGGGGTCAGAATGGGCCCATGGCAATGAGTTGGATGGAGTTTGTCCTGCCCCAGGCAGTGCCCCAGGTGCCTTCAGTGAGACCTCACAACAGCCTAGAAGGGGGGTCCCAGTTGGATACCCATTTAACAGATGTTGTTATTCCACTTCACAAACTGGGGCAGGGGAAGGTACCCCAGGTCACACCACATGTCAGCGGCAGAGCCAGCGCTGGGCAGGTGATTTCCCTGCCCCCTTGCCCGTTTGCCTCTCACCCCACCCCCAATCTACCCCACAGATGACAACGATGGAGGCAGTGGAGTCCCCCGAGTCTCTGGCGGCCGTGGCTTACCTGCTGAACCTTGTCCTCAGGCGGTGAGTGCAGGCCCAGGTCACGGTGGAGGGGATGAGCAGAATCGGGGGACTACGAAAGGCGACTGGTCTCGGGTGGCAGGGAGGGTAGGGCACCTGGTGTCCTAAGTGGGGCAGGAGGAAAGGGCTTGGAATGTTGCCACCAGGCTCTCTGGAGAGCTGTAGCCCAGGGAGAGGATGGCTGTGGGCTTGGGGCCACCTTGTGGGTGAGGTGGTGGAGACAGCCAGGGAGTGGGTGATCTGGGATGTGACAGGAACACGCACTGAGTTGGGTGGCAAAAATGTGCACCTCTGTCCTGTCTGTGTTGCTCCCCAGCTGAGGGGTGGGGCCAGCCATGCCTCCCTGTCCCCCTCCCACACGGGGCATCCCCGGGCCGCTGACCCTATGCGTTCTCTCCCCACAGTGTGCCCAGCCCGGTCCTCATGAAGAAGTTCTCCGACACCTCCAAAGCCTTCATGGACATCCTGTCAGCCCAGGCCAGCCCCGGCAGCTCCACCTCCGCCCTCCGATGGGTTAGTGTTGGGTCGCCTTTATCCCCCCACCTGGTTGACTAAAGCCTGGGTGCTCCCGGGACCCACAGACTGGGCCATTTTGAGACTTTCTGGAGTTGATGAGACCCGCTTCTCCTGTCCCTCCTGACCAGACGGGGGGCTGAGGGACTGTGTCTGTCTTCCTCCAGGTCCTCTCCTGCCTGGCCACCCTGCTGCGGAAGCAGAACCTGGAGTCCTGGAGCTACCCGGTGACCCTGCAGGTGTTCCACGGGCTGCTGAGCTTCACCGTGCACGCCAAGCCCAAGGTGGGCCTGTGGGGCCCAGAATCGGAGGGGTGGGGGGCGTCGGACACAGCACCCCCTCCAGCCCAGCCCAGCCCCGTCAGCGTGCTGGTGTCGTCTCCTGAGCGGGGGTTGGAGATGGGGCTCTTTGAGGGCTGGCTTCCCCCCAGCCTCTGCTTCCGAGGCCTCGTTTGCTAAGATCTTGAAGGCCAGTGAGGTTTCACTGAAGGCACTTGGAGCACTGCCTGGGACAGTACAAACTGCACCCCAACTCAGGCCATCGGGCCCATTCTGACCCCCGGCGGCCCTAGAAGGCAGGGCAGAACTGCCCCTGTGGGTTTCTGAGACTGTCACTCTTGACGAGAATAGGCCCTCAGGAAGCACCCACCCTTCTCAGGTGCTCACCTGTGCTCCTGTGACATGACCTCTCCTGCAGGGGCCAGACACTGATCGGTGGGCCTTGGGGTCTCACAGGTGGACCCTGGGGTCACCGCCTGTTGTGTGGTGTGTGTAGCCTTAGTCTCCTGACGAAAGCGCGGTGCGTGATGATGCCTCCTTGTGGGCCAGGGCTCTGGTGGGACTCCCGAGCTCACACAGATCCTCCCAGTGCCGGCGGCCCCCCACTCTCTCCTCCCGAGATGTAGGGCTCGGGGCACAGGGGGCTCGTCCAGCCCTAGTCAGGGCTACACCTCAGGCTGCTTAACCTAACAAGGTCCGAAGCTCGACTCCACCAGCGGCTCCACAGGACAAAGACGGGCTTTCTGCCCAGAGGAGAGTCTCAGTCTCGGACACCGCGGGCGAGGTTCTTTCCTGTCGCCGAGGGTGTCACGTGGTTCCTTGCCGCCCACGAAGGGTGCGACCCGCTTTACCACCTGCTGCCATTGAGTGTGTTCCCGCTCCGCACCAGTGTGCACCTGCGCCAGGGACAAGCGTGGTGGGAGAACAGGCCCAAAGCAGCCATGCCGTCGGGACTGTGGCCCCGATAGCCTCGCTGGACACAGGGTGTCTGTAGTTGTTGCGCCGTGCCGGGAGGCGCAATCAGGTGGCGTGGAACGCCCGTTAAACGCACCAGCAGCCTTTGCTTCCTTCTGTGTGAAGTCCTTTCACTTCCGGAATTTCCCATCTGTCTCCCCGTGGCCTGTGCGCGCCCTGCTCCGATCAGGAACCGAGGGGAGGGGCCGAGAGGACGAGTCAGCCTCAGCCCCAGGGCTTACCGTGCTCTGCAGGGCAAGCTTTCACACTCACGTACGTGCCAGCCCCCGGCATGGCCCTGGGCGTGTGGTAAGGGGTTCGACCTGGGTGTGGCAGTTGGCGGTCTGGATCCTGACCGGGCCTGGCCTCTCTCCTTGCCTTCCCCTCAGGTCCGGAAGGCAGCCCAGCATGGTGTGTGCATGGTGCTCAAGGGCAGTGAGTTCATGTTTGGGGAGAAGGCCCCTGCCCATCATCCAGCCGCCATCTCCACTGCCCAGTTCTGCATCCAGGAGATTGAGAAGTCCGGAGGTGGGAGCCAGACGGAGGCCAGGGAGGTGGGGCTGGGGGGCACGGTAGGCGGTGACCAGCATGGCCAGCCAGGACAAGGCCTGCACAGGAGTGGGCCAAGATCAGCACTGCCCTCTCTCCAGGCTCCAAGGAGGCTACCACCACGCTGCACATGCTGACGCTGCTCAAGGACCTGATGGCCAGCTTCCCGGAGGGCCTGGTCAAGAGCTGCAGCGAGACGTTCCTCAGGGTCATGACCTTGAGCCACGTGGTGAGCTCGGGCCCCAGAGCTAGGGTGGGGGGTGGGGGCTTTCCCTCCAGACCCCAAGCCACAGCATGGCGCTGGGGCAGCTGCCAGGTTGGCCAGCAGGGCTGGAAGTCTCCCAGCCTCATCTCAGAACACACCTGCCCAGAGGTCTGGTGACCGTGGAAGCTGGCCTTGGAGGGAGATCTGCTCAGAAGGAGGCAGAGAGACCATGGGCTCTCGAGAGCTGCCGCCTCCTGCCTGCCAGCTAGCTCACCTCCAGCCAGGGCCAGACAGGGACTCGCTTTGTGGGTTCACTTACTTTTTTTGGTGTTCTTTTATCTTTTTCTACTTATTAACGAGTCAGTAGAAGGTTTTAACCTTAAAGAAGGTTAAAACAAGCAGTCTTCTGAGCCCTGCCACCCGGTGTCGTAGTGAGTTACGCGGCAGGCGGCTGACGCCAGACCAACAGTTAGGCCTCACCAGCGCTCTTTGGGGGAAAGATGCGGTTTCTGCTCCCGTGAAGAACTCCAGTCTCGGAAAGCAACAGGGGTCTCTGAGTCGCTGGAGTGCCTCAATGGCACTGCTTTTGTCTGGAGCACAGTGTCCAGGTGTCCTGGGTCAGGTGCTTGGCTGTGTGCTGAAAACCAGCTGTCGGAGGCACCCAGGAGAAGGGTGCGCGAGCTGCGTCCCTGAAGACCACAGCCCAAGACATCCCAGTGGCACTGCGACTCCAGCACCCCGAGCCACCTGACGGCAGCAGCGTGCTTCTGCTTATCTTAGTGGAATCTCCCGTCGGTTTTGCTCATACATCTGAACTTTTTTATTCTATAAATAACGATGCTGTTTAAAGAGGGAAGTAGCGATGTCGAAATGCATAAACTCAAAAATAAGCCTTGTTTTCCCTCCAAGTCCATTGTCCTCCAGTAAATGGCACGGGTAACGTGCTGGTCCCCCTTCCAGACAGCTCTCTGGGTGGGTGGACACACATGCCCAGGGGAGCATGTGAGTGCTGCCTGCCCCACGCACAGCACCCTCTGCGGCTTGCTGCCACGTCTGGAACTTCCTGTTCCTCCCCTGGCTTTGAAGAGTTCTGAATTTTCTCAGTGCGTGTCCTGTCTTTCTGGGTGCCCAGGTGAGGGGAACCCACGTGGGCGTTGCTAGTCCCCTCTAAGGCTGTGTCTTCCTCTCCAGCTGGTGACCGCTTGTGCCATGCAGGCCTTTCACAGCCTCTTCCATGCCAGGCCTGGCCCAGGCACCCTGTCGGCAGAGCTCAACGCCCAGATCATTACGGTGAGGCCTGATGGGGGCTGGGGACGGGCATCCACTGTGCTAGTGGGGCGGAGAGGGGCTGGGCTGGGCTGGGCTGTCCCGTTGGAGGCCGTCAGTAGCTGGGCAAGCAGACCAGAGATGAACCACAGAAAACTCCCATCAGGGACCTGACTCTGCTAGCCTCGGGCTCCTCACTTGGCCTGGGGCTGGGGGTGGGATGAGGGTGGTAATTTAAATGTTCACCATGGTTTCATGGTCTTACTGACAGAGGCAGGGGTTCCTAACCTTTGTCCATGGGTGCATTTAGGGTGGGTGGTGTAGACACCCCTAATTGTTTAGAAAATGGGTGTTTGCGCCCGTGGGTTTTCCTGGAGGCGGAGGCTATCAGACTCAAAAGGGGTTGTGGGCTCAGGGCTAGGTAAGGATGGGCAGAGCCGTGAGGGCTCAGATCCAGGGTCACTGTCATCTCCTCCTTCCTGCCCCTCCTTCCCCAGGCCTTGTACGACTACGTCCCCAGCGAGAACGACTTGCAGCCCCTTCTGGCCTGGCTGAAGGTCATGGAGAAAGCCCATATCAACCTGGTCCGGTAGGTGCCATGTTGGGTGTAGGTGCCTGGTGTGGGCAGTAGGAAGCCAGAGAGGTGTGGTTCAGCTCTTCAAAGGCTGGCCACATGTCCCCACGGCGCTCAAGGTCAACCAGCTCCGGTCTCTTTCAATGAGGCACGGGGTAGGGGGATGCCCGCCACTCCCCCAGGCCTGGTTGCCTCCCTACCTGCTCGTTTGCCTGAATCGAGGGTCTCGAAAGCCCCTCTGGCTCCACCGAGCTGTGGTTCCACTCTGCGCTCTGCCCGGCCTGCTGTGAACTGGGCCCGTTCAGTGCGCTGCACCTGCTGCTGAGCCCCGCCGAGCACAACCTCCCTGTGAAGAAGCTTGCATTCGATGCCACCGAGTCGATGCTGGCTCGTGCTGGCGTCGTGGGGCAGGTGGAGTGGCCCCGGGGGGTTTGCCCAGCCGTTGTCATTAGGGGAGCAGACCACCAGGCCCTTCTGTATTGCTGCCGCTTGGGTTTGGACGGCCAGTCTTTTCTGTTACGTTAGCACCTTTAGGTGTAACTGCCGCACCAACAGGCTTCCTCAGGAAGGCCTTGGGCTCTTATAAACAGGACATCCAGGCCCTGCCAGTCAACTAGTCCTGTAGGTTGTTGGGCAGGCGCAAAGCCAGGTGCGTGGGGCCCACCCCTGTCTCCCTACCCCGAGCTGCCTTACATCCGAGGGGCTGGGAAACGGCCAGGGTCCTCCTCTGCCCTGTCTGCGGGCTCATCCTCTGACATGCTGCCGAGCCCAGGACGCTCTTGTCAGCACGTGGTGGGGTGAGGCAGGAGCGACACGCCACAGCCAGCCCGCCGCCCTCCATTCACTCGCAGGGCAACCCAGGGATAGCAGAACCTCCAGGTGGGTCTGCACAGGGCAAGAGTCTCGTCTTCCTCCTGAGCAGGGCCAGGGGGATTGAACTGCCCGCCTTGTGGTTAGCAGCTGCCCGGCGGACCACCTTCCTTGAGACGCTGGTTGGTAAATGCCGGCCTTTCCCAGCTGTGGCTGCCGGGTGTTGCTGGTCTCCATGAGCTCCGAGAGAAGCAGGGTGCCCAGTAGGCCGGTGGTGTGGGCCACGCTGCCCAGGGGTGAGCCCTGACCCCGTGACCCCGTGACCCTTGTCTACAACATGGCAGTGGTGATGGGACTTTACCATCTTGGTTGTCACACGGTTTCGGTGAATCGGTGTCAGATAACCGCATGGCATGTGGTTGGTATGTGCTGGGCAAACAGGAGCTGCTATATGGATCACCCTCTGGAAGGTGTTTGTATTAGTCTGGGTGGTACTTAGGAGAAACAAATCCACAGTAACTCATGTATAAGAGAGTTTTACGTAAAGAAAATGTGCATCACGAAAACATCCCAACCCAATGCTGCCCAAGCCCACAAGTCCAAC